TCTCCATGTGAACGCTTTGAGCTTACGCTTTTTTCTTTTTTTTTTTAAATTCTATTTCTTTAACTTCTCATAGACCTTTTTGGAAGCACTGACTGTTGCTGTTGCAGGTAAACAATAGTCATTCTAATACTGCCCATCAGTTGCCCATGAAAATATGGAAATGAAATCCAACATGCTTGCTTATTGCCAAATATGGTGTGGGTGATGAGGAATCCTTTGATTCCAACATGAATGTGGCAGAGACATAGAAGAAGGAAGGAAACAGGTTTTAAGGCACCTCCTTTTAGTACTAATTACAAAAGAAGTTGCACACTTCCACTCTACCACAGTGAGTAGACTGTTAACGAGCAAGAGAGAGACTGCGTGAATGGGGTTAGAACCCTCTCAAAGCCTTGGATTAGGCCAGTCTTGCACACCAAGTCCAAAAATGTCGTTAGTATGAGTATCAAAGATCTGACAGCTCTATTTAAGAAAACTATATTTATCACAAAGAGGTCAAGAACCTGCTAATGCAGAAACATGAGGTACATGTTAATGTATGCGTCAGCCTTGAGACCATTAGACCAAATGCAGACCTGTGTCTGACAAAATATAAATTAAAAAAAATAGAATAAATATATATTGTGTTTAAACTTTGATTAAATAACAATTCTAGCAATACATAACATGCTGTTTTTAAAGGACAGTTTACTTTTTCTGTTTACAGTGAGTTTCTATGATGTATCCATTGTCCTACAAGCTTTTATTCTTACTACTGCTGTGTTTCTTGGGCTAACTGCATATACTCTGCAGTCCAAGAGAGATTTCAGCAAATTTGGAGCTGGGTAAGTTTCTTTATCATAGACAGTAACAACAAAACCAAAAACTGCACAAGTCTTATAGATACAGTATAAGAATCAGGTCTGTGGAAGCTGAGTTCTTCAATTTTATGTCACTAAAGGGTGGCTTGATTTATACTTGATTTAACAAGTAAAGCCTTACTTGTTAAAATAAGGCTTTTCTGTGCTTGACTCCTTTAGGAAGTAGTTGTTCTTGTGGAAGCACTGTTTATTTTATTACTATTATAACTTTTTAAAATATAGCACTACACAAACAAATTATGTATTTATGTTTTTTCATTGGACTATCAGGTAGCTAAATCAAATGTAATAAATTCTGAACTTGAGTTGTCACTGCTTCTTATAATGGGAAGATTTTAGTGTTGATAACAATGAATGATTGGCATTTTAATCTTAACATTTTTCTTTCAGATTGTGCATAATATATATAAAATGTACACACATACTACTGAGCTACCTGGTTATTAAATGTGGGGAGGAAAGAGCTTGAAAAAACATCTAAACAGCCAGTAATAAAACTAATACACTAATGTCTTTTTTTTTTTTCCAGGCTCTTTGCCTGCTTGTGGATTTTAATCCTCTCAGGTTTCTTGCGGGTAAGATGTCTTGTGTCTAGAACTAAAAATTATTATTTAAGTTGCCGAGTTCAGGATTTCCTTCCCCCGTCCTCTTAAAATTAAGACATTTTTAGAGTAGAACATGCTTCAGGTACTTTGGGGACTCTTGGATATTGGAGTAAAATTTTCAGCTGTAAAACTTTAATGCCTTAAATCAGATTTAAAGCCCTATCTGCAATTTTAATGAAAATCAATATGACTTAGACTTCCAAATCACTTGGACACCTCTTTATTTCACTGTTGATCTAAATAATAAAATGGTAATATAAGACTTAAGCATCAACATTACAATATACAATATCTATAAACAAGCTATTACTATAGACTGCTCAGTCACAATCTAATTTAAATCTGTGTAATGTATGCTTAAAAATTAAGGGTAATTGCTGATGCAACCTATGAACAAGTTGCTAGGTAAAAAATTATTTCTTGGTGCTATGAAATATGTCAAGATTTCAGGGGGTTTTCCCTGTTCCACACTGGAAGGAATCAGACCTTTTTGAAGTTTGTTTTTTTTTTCCCACAAAAAAACAGATACATTGCAGAATTGCCAACAGCTAATGGTTATGGCACTCAGATGTGGGTCTCTGATCTCTAAACTGAGCATCAACCAGGGGACTGCTATGAAGCCAGTCTCTCTAGCCAAGTGAATGTTTATTTATACAAAGCTTAACTGCTCCAGCAGAGGAAGGGGAGGCGATCTCTATGTGTCTCTCTCATGTTGAATGTTTCATTTTGTGTAAATAAATATTCATCGGGCCAGAAAGAAGGATTTACTGGAGCCCAGTGGTTAGAGTGCTTGTCTTAAATGTGGAGGTGGCAGTTGTAATTTGTATAAATTATGTTCACCAGAACAAAATAATGTTAAAGTGAAATTGCTCAAGTGGAAGGGATTGAGGGAATAACTGTCCTGGGGCTTAAGACACATGTATGGGATATAGGAGAACAGCTGAGCTGGGACTGAATGTAGGTCTTCATCTCTCAAGTGAATGCCCTAATCTCCAAGCTGTTTCTCTGCTTTTGAAATTCCATCTTAGATAGATGAAACTTCCGAAATTCCATCCATAAAATGTGACACTACTTTTAGAAGCTTTTACTCTTACTTAGAGCTATCAGATGATTGTTTTACAAAGAAAAAAGTATGAAAAGGCACGTTAAAAAATGACTCGTTGTCTTTCTGTCTTTAGACTGTTTTGATTAATCTAGATGTCATGTCAACAAGAGAGGGAATGTGGATATGTATGTACCAAAACATTGTCAAGTCTGGCCTTTCTCACAAACAGGTTTAGTTTTGACAAGTTAGATTTTTTTCATCAGCAAAAAATATTGATTAGCACTATTATTGGAAAAAGTTCTGTTATAACCTCTCAGTTGTACTTTTCAAATTAATTTAATTAATTTAACTAGAATACTCTTGCTGTTGTAGAATTGATGGTAAGAATTTTAAATACTTGGGTTTATCCAAATTAGTATGTTGGTACGGAGAAGAGATTAACTTTGTCAGTAGTATTTTTTCTCTTTTAAATTTTCTTCTACCATTACTATCATGGAGACAGAGCATCCTTTCCTCCACTGAGAGGAGGCACTGCTTCAAGTGAAATGAGCTCAGTGAAAATAATAGACAAACTGAGGAGCTGGGAAAAAAAGTCAGTTTTGGTGCAGAGGATGTTTGTATAGTTTCTGTTAGGATCTTACTCTTTGACTTTGTAGCTCTACAAAAGTAGTTTGCTTAGCCCCATGTGGAGAGGACTTAATACCAAGCAAACCTCTTTGGCCTTGATGCTACAAACACCCTTGCATGTGATTCCCTACTGGGAATAATCATACTGAAAGTAGTATACAAGTATCTGCACTACTAGGGTCTAAAAAATATAATGAGTTTGGAAAAATCTCGTCTAGTTATCTGATGGAAGGTGATGACTGTTATCTTCTGTTCCAATCCCAAGATTTTTACAAAATTTTGGAACATCCTGCCACTAATACTGTTGTGGTACAGTAAGTATACTCAAATAGAAGGCCAAGATAATTTTAATTGCTTACTAATAGTTTTTAATACTGAAGTGCATCTGCTTAATGAAATAGAATTTACCACTTTTTTTTTTCCTTTTCACACTTTTGTCTGGCTTTAGCTGTTTTTCTATAGTGAGACAATGGAACTGGTATTTGCAGCTGGTGGAGCTCTTCTGTTCTGTGGATTTATCGTTTATGACACTCATTTGGTGATGCACAAGCTGTCCCCTGAAGAGTACATACTGGCTTCAATCAACCTCTATTTGGATATCATCAATCTGTTCCTACACCTGCTGCGTTTACTGGAGGCATTCAATAAAAAGTAACTGAAGGCAGTCTAAATGGAAATATGATGTGCATAGGGTTAAACAACTGAATAGTGTTGGTTACGATCTACAGACCGTGCAGTATATTTTTTAAGCTAAATCTTAGCATCTTTCATTCCATGGTTATTGATTCTTTAGAAATGAATGGGCTTTCTTGTAACTGACACCAGTCTGTTCTAAAATGTATTTTGTTACATGCTGTATCCGTTTCAGTTGCCGTTGCAAAGGCTTCCTTTAATTTGCAGCTAAGATTCACGATCAAAACACTTGTCAAATTTGCTCTGCTGCCAGCAGTCAAACAGTGGAGTTTTCTATTTCAACTATTGCAACTGCCAGAGATGGTTCTTTAGGAATCAGAACAGAAAATTGCACTTAATCTTGTCACCCTGTAACAGTCCTTTAATTCCACCGGTCAGGTGTGTACCTTCCTTTTAAAGATTTTATTCCTATTTAGAGAAATGGGATGATTGCATTACTAAGGACAAAATATCACTTTAAAAAATCACTTGTCTTTTTGTCTTTATTTTTGATTCATGTAAGCACGTCTACAAAAAGTGGAACGTGCCGTGGTAGGCGTCAGTCTGCACTTAATTAACAAACGTGTTAAAAAGCAGGAGAGGTCGGCAGTCCTAAAATCTGGCTTTGTAGCCTGGAGCGCTTTGGAGCAGTGTTTCTCAGCCTGTTGGTCGCGACCCACACGGGGCTTGCAGGAACATGAGAAGGTCACGCGAACAAACTTGAAAAATGGCGTCTCCTTTAACGCGGGGAAATGGAGGGTTTCCCCTGGCCGGCTGGCTGGGGGCTCCCTATGCCCCCACACACCCATCCTGGCGGGGGGCACTGGGCGGGGACTGGCCATGGGTGTTTACAAACGGGTCCTGCTACAACGGGGGCGAGAAGTGCTGCTGCAGGGCGCGGGTACTGGAAGAGACTGCGGATGCCCGCAGCGCAGAGCTGTGGCGGGTGCGACATTGTGCTCTCCAGTCGGCGGCGATGCTGGTGCTATCTTTCAGACGGGCTTTGAGCCCCCGTGGAGGGGGGAGCCCGGCCCCGCCAGCACAGCCTCCGCTGCGCCGCCCGAACACAAGCCCTGCAGCTGGGCAGGAGGGAAGCAGCCCCCCCACCCCGGCACCCTGCGTCACGAGCGGCTCAGCCAATGCACGCCGCCGCCGCCAGGCGCCTAGCTCTAGCGAAGCTCCCTTTCGCGCTAGCTCCGCTCTCCCCCCACCCCACCTTGCGCTACCCGCGCGGGGCGGGGCTTGCTACGCACGTACGGAAGCTGCGCTCTGTGGACGCGCTGACGCCGGAGGTGAAGGTGGTGGCGGCCGCGTGCGGAGCTCGCGGGGACTGTGGGTGAGTCGGGGCTCGCGTGTCCGCCGCGACTACTTCACTGGGGCCTCTCCCCCCATCCCCCTGCCGGGGCGCTGCTCAGGGGCAGCGGGAGGCCTGAGCTCGCCGCCGCGCGCATGCCCCTCCCCCCCACCGCACACCACTTCCCCGCCCTTTGCCTCTGCCCTGGCTGCTGGCGCGGCGGCCGCGAGGAGACCGGGCTCCCATGTTTGAAGGGAAGGGCCGGGGGTTTCTTTTGCTTTCTCAGCTGCAGATGGCAAAGAGCCTGAGGAGCAAGTGGAAGCGGAAGATGCGGGCGCAGAAACGGCGGAAGAACGGCCCCAAGGAGCTGGCGCGCCTGAGGGATGTCCTGAAAGCTGGCGCTCTTCTGCGTGAGGTGCAGGACGTCGCCACCCTGGTCCCGCCGCAGAAGGTCCAGGCTCCTGGGGGTGAGTCCGTTCATCCTGAGCGTGAGGGCTCTGTGCCTGGGCCTCCAGCACACCTCTGCGGGACATGCTGTCCCAGACCGGTCTCTGCTAGTGCTGGTTATGCTCCCCCTGCTGCCGTGACCAGCGCCCCGGGCCCTCGCCCTCTTGCTGTCGCTGTGAATTGGTGTAGGTGCTGCTTTTTCCCTTGCGCAGGGACACGCCAGCCATGCTGCTGTCAAGGCAGTGCATCAGCTGTTGCGGGTTCCTGCTTACTGCAGGTCATTCAGGTGGTTCCCGAGCCTGTCGGGCTTCAGCGTTTGGGAGCTATCCTGGGGTGCTCAGCCCCAGGCCATGGGCTGAACCAGTGTTACCCGCTCTGCCAGGCTCCCTACAGCTACAAAGATTTGGCACTGGGGGCAGGGTTAATTGCTGCTCCCCTACTGCCAAACTTCTGTACCTGTGGGAAGGCTGCAGGGCTGGATAAGTCCTGCGTGCTCAGTCAGGCAGACGAGGCTGGAATGGTTTGGGCCCAAATCCTAGCACACAGTGGTGAGCCAGGGTGGTGCAGGGCCTGATCTGGGCACATGGGGCCCAACCCTGTGCTCCAACCCCATGAGGCATTCAGCCTGCAGGCTCTGATCCACACCATGTATCCCGTCCACAGGTTATCCAAAAGGATGAGCACCACTGATCTATGCTACGGGGTTCTATGTGTTTCATTATTTCTATAAATTAAGAGTGCACATAATGAGTTTTCTAGCATGTCTCCAACTCTTCTTAAGCTGCTCTGCTATCCCTGTCTTTCGGATATTTCCAGCCTTCCCTTTCCCAGTGGTGGCAGTTTTTTGGCCTCTGCAGGTTTTCTAGCCACCAGTGGTGCTCTGTGCCATTCCTTATTGGCCCTTTCTGATTTTCATTTAAATTATTTGATGGTCTGGAAGATTCCTGAAAACTGCTTAATTATTCTGTTGCAGCCAGACAGGGAAATGCTGTCAAGTAAGTGTAAGGGCATTGTTTTGCCCACTCTCTGTGAGGAGACAGGAATATACAGTTAATAATAATAATATAATAATACTAGTTAGTTGCAACAGGATGGATAGCATCTTCCTAGGCCATTAGGCTCTTACTTAGATTGGTCCTTGCTTTGATGTCCACTCATTTATTCTTTGCATGGAAACTTGGCAACTTTGCTCTACCTTGGTACTCAGTTTTTCATTTCGGTTATCAGTATTTGTGAGGGGGAAAGTTGGTGTCTGTAATCTTGTCATTCTAAGTCACTGATACCACGCGCTCTATTGGTTCTCCCTTCTAACAGCTGCTCACATTGCTGATGCCTAAATTCCAAAAATCTGTACAGGCACCCTCTGTTCTTCCATTGGGCATCTTCTGCCTCCAGCAGCTGGCACATTAAGTGGGATGGTCATTTCCCAGACTACACTTAAGGCAAATGTTGTTATGTCAAAGAAACAGGCCTTTGTGTTATTCGGGAATACAACTCCTTTCACTTTATTGAAACTCATGGCTCTGTATGAGGCTAAACTGTGTGTGCAGCAAGATATTTTTTCTTGAATGTATGAAAGCAGAGTTTATTCCTATGTGAAACTGGTTTACTTATTTTATGACCTTAAATCCTTTTTTCTTTCTGTCCCCCCAGATCAAAACAAGATGGACACAGATAGTAAAAGAAACAAAAAGACTCTCCTAGATGAACACGGACAGTACCCAGTTTGGCTAAATCCCAGACAGCAGAAGAAACTTAAGGCAAAACGTGTTAAAGGAAAAAAGTCCAAGGTGGCCAAGGGACTGGCATGGTAGATTCTCACACAGGTGGAAAAGTGGACAAGAGATTTTATGTAGAAAGTAGAGACTGCTAAGGACTGAGTGTACAATCTGACTGGGCTCAGCTGCCAAATACAATTATCATAACAGGTTGGGTTTTATTAGATCAGAAGCAGGTGAAAAGAATATCACATTGAAAACTGCTTCATTTAAAAATAAAATGAACTAAAAATAGTGCTTTTGAATCGCCTTACCAATTTTGTATTTTCTCCTCTGCTTTGCAGAAGTCCATAAAACTTAATATGCAGAAAATGGAGGGAGGGAATGAACTGGATAGAAATTTAATAAGTGAACCATAGCCCTAATAGCAGGTACACTTTTAAAAGTGTTTAGTACTTTGAAAGTCTGTTTAATTTTCCCATAGAACATATTTTATGGAAAACCAATACATCAGTGAAACAATGTGACTTTTAAAGGGATGCTGTAAACAGAAATTTGGGTCACAACTCAAGACAAAAAAAAAAATGTGTTTGACTTGGATTTAAAAAAAAAAATGTCCAGTAGAAATGGTTGCTTAAAATAAAGACATTTTCCATTAGTTTTTGCAACCCAAATGCTGCAGCACTGAGGAATTGAAATCAAAACTCATATGGCTGACATTCATTGTCCATCTGAGAGAATGCAAAACCATGAGTAATAAGAAAGTAAATTAAACTTTAAACATTGTGAACAATTGTAGTCTAAAGGTACATGTGTGTTGCAGTGCCCATGTATTTTTAGTAGGTCAAGGTTCCTTCACAGTGGCATTTGCTTACTATGTTGCACCAAATAGACACAAGATTTCAAATGTTGTATGACTGTAGCAAATACCATTTAATTATATTTGCTTACGTGCTTTTGTATATTATTGGGCAATAATATGTGATGACAGATTCAAGAACTAGTTACCCTGTAATATTACCTTTTTACAATAAAACGTCAAAGATGGAAACGGTTAGGGCGCTAGGCTAACAGTATGTTGCTCTCTGAAGAACCCTTCATCCATGCGGAACCTGACTTGCAGGCAGGTCTGTTCCTATGCTTGAACTGAAGTGCTCTGATTGCCTACTGATAACAGTCTGCAGCTGCTGTACAATTCTGATGTGATTAAATAGGAAATATGCTTTTTGAAAACAAAGTTATACTAGCTTGAGGCACTTTGTGCTAAAACCAAAAAAGGTGGATGACTTGGTGTGGATTTCAGATTTTCTAAGGGACATATATTTTATGAATTATGAAAGAATGATGTTTTTCTCTTCTATTGTGCAAGTAAAACCAACTGAAAATTATAAAAATGAAATTAGTAGAATATGGGAGATGAAACCTGTGTATGTTCTGTTTGATTATTCACTTTCGGTTAATGAAAGTTTTAATTTTATCAGGTCAGTTCAGTAACTTGACATTTACTTCTATGTTATGTAGCAGCATCAGTATATCTATCTCAACATCTATACTTCAGTAATGTATGTAGTGGATGCTATCACTCCCGTAATGCTGTAAAATAGAAAATGGTACTTTTAATTCAGTTTTTATTGTTAAGAGTTGCAGACTTTGCAGTTCAAAATTAGATGTGAAATGTTGGTGTCAAGATTTGAGCTCCCTTAAAAGCAGCTGGGGTTTCTGAGCTCCCTGTCTGTCTGGCTTCCCCTTCCCAGCCACAGAGTTAGGGGCAGTGCAGTGTGGCACAGCTTGCAGTGCTAGGGTAGCATGTGGAGTGGGGCACCCAAGAGGCACCATGCAGTGGAGAGGACCCTGTGATGGGGAGCTAAGGGTAACATGGAGCATCCAAGTGTGCGGTGTAGCAGGTGTAGGGCCATGGAGATGCACAGTGCAGTGCAGAGAGGCACCAGGGTGCATGGTACATCAAGAGGATGCATAGTATGGTGGTGGCAGCCTGTGCCCTGGGCTTCTGCTGCCTCACTCTGGGCCCTGCCAGCACTGGCCCTAGTGCACTGGCACGGACCCTGCGCATTGTGTGCTTGCTCACTGCCCCTTCCCCCAACCTGCCACAGCCATTTCCCTGATTTCCCCCTGCCTACCAGCCAGCTGGCCGCTCTGGCACCACGCGGTTCCCAGCTGCAGCACCAGGGCCACAAGAGCTGCTGGGACATGGTGCCAAAGCAGCAGGGGGGAATGGGCAAGTGGCAGGAGAGGGCAGCAGTGGCAGATGGGGGCAAGTGGCAGTGAGCTGGAGCACGGGGCCCGGGCTTGCAGGAGTGCTGGTTCAGAGATGACAAACCCCATTGCTTAAAGGAGTACTTCCAGGGGGCAAAGGGAGGGACTTCTCGTGGCAAAGGTCAAGGGTTAGGGGGTGGGACTTCTGGTCCCAAGAAGGTGACCAGGGGGTGGAGCTCCTGTCAAGGGGCAGGGCTGTCCATGTGGCCCTTGATGGCTTGCCAAAACTCAAGAAACGGCCCTCCGCCTGAAATAATTGCCTGCCCCTGGAGTAAAGTCAAGTGTGTAGCTGCTTTTTTACATACCTAAATATCTCTGTAAGTACCCTATATTTCTGTAAAACCAAGTATTGTCCATTAAGGGTTTCACTACCAATACTGAGAGGACAGAGATTCCAAGCTTTTGAAAACATTTAAATCACCTAGGAAGAAGAAAGAGATTAAATAAATTTTAAGTGTATGCAGGTTTCCCTTGTTTTATGCAGGTTCTTTATATGCCTGTTTGCTCATGCGATGAGCATATTTAGACCCATAATTCATTATATGCAAGGTAAATTTGCTCTTATGTGATCAGCATAGACGACCCCCCTCCCCAGCAGGTAAGTCTCTGTGGGGGAAGGGAAAGGGCTATGGCCCCACTTGCCCCAGCCCTGGCTGCAGCAGCCCCGGGAGCAGCCGGCACCAATTGCCTGCAACCCCTGGGCTGCACTGTGCTACCCCTGTCCCCCCCCCCACCCCGTGCCTAGGCTCCGGGTGAGTGCTACGCCCTGTGCCATCCAGGGCTTCACTTGTCCGCACTCACCTCTGCTCCTAGGCTGTACCGTGCCCTGGTGCAGGCAGCTGGTGCCGGCTG